CCTAGCTTTTGACAGGAAGTGGATGAATATGGAAGATTTACTGCTGAGTGAAGCAAGCCAGGCTATGAAGGAGAGGCATTGTATGTCCCTACTTAATATATACCAAATGTCCGCACTCTATGACTGAAATGGATAAAAGGATATAGAAACACAGTATATAGATGTAAATGCCAGATACAGTGTGTGTGAAAAAGGAGGGTCTGAGGAAGGACATTTAGAAGAAAAATAGGGAGGCAAAGCATTAATGGGACAAAGAAATGTGATATTATCTGTTGAAGATAATTTATAGTTTTATCAACTGTACTAGGGAGAAATGTTCACCTGTTGAAATACCCATTTTGTAAGTCAAATAATGTGATTGAATGTATAAAAGAAAAGAAAAGAAAATAGAAAAAAAAAACAGGATTTATAACCAAAAAAATTCTTAAAAAAAACAGGAAATAGATGCAGTTGTTCAAACATGAAAAAAGAAACGAAAAATTTTCCACATATAAGCATACAAAAAAAATGTTCAGCATGGTTAATAAAGAAATGCAGACTGAACAATGAGATCTAATTATTTAAAGAAAAATAACAAAATAATGTACGTTCTTTGATAATGAGTAGCTCAGTCATTCCTATGTAGCAGCTCAAGGCAGTTCATATTTCCCTAACATTCTCTCTTGGGAAGTTGAATGCATGAAATAGAGAATTAAAGGGCCATTAGAAGACACAGAAATAGAAAGCAAAAAATAGAAACAGAAACATGGAGAAGAGCTGGCCATAAATATAATTGAGCTTAACTACCTGTTTAATAGCAAACGTGTGGGTTATATAGTTATACAGTTGAACAAAAAAATGTTCAACGTGGTTAACAAAGAAATGCAGACTGAACAATGAGATAATCCTTTTGTATCTGTCAAATTATCAAAAACATTTTTTAAGATATTTGAGTTCAGGGGTTGGCAGGTGGTGTGGGGGTTAAGGTGCTGGACTCCCACATGGCCGACCACGGTTCAAGTCCTGGACCTAGCGGCTTGCTTTCTCACTTTCTCTCTCTCTCTCACTGTTCTTCTCTGGTCAAATTAAAATTAATAAATAAATGGATAAATAAAGTTAAAATAATTCTTTTTAAAAAAAAGAAGATATTTGAGTTCAGCATGCAGATGTGGGAGGGAGAGTAGAGGATATTAATTGGTTCATAGTAAGAGTATTACTTGATTACACCTTTTAGCAGAGAAATTTGGCAATATGATCTTAAAAAAAAACTTAAAAATATGCCTATTTCTGGGGCCAGCAGGTGGGGTGGTGGTTGAGGGCGCTGGACTCCCACATGGCTGACTGCAGTTCAAGTCCCAGACCTGGTGGCCCGGGTGGCCGGCTTCCTCGCTTTCCCTCCCTCTCTCTCTCTGTCTCTCTATCCCTCTCCGATCAAATTTTTAAAATAAAATTAAAAATAAGGTAAATAAAATAATTATTTTTAAAAATGCCTATTTTCTGATGTAAGCAAGTCTACTTTATGGACATAATTATGCATGTGAAATGATTGACACCTAAGACAGCATCCAGCATAGGTCATAATATTGCAGAACTGTAAACAGGTGATCTTCAACTACAGGAAGTGGGTGAAAAGAACTGTAAAATCGCCACGTAATCAACAGCATACAGCCATTAAATACAATGTCATAAATAGGACTAATGTAAAACAATGTTCACTAAATACATTTAGTAAGAAGTAGGCTAAAACATGTCGGCTGATAGTCATAAGTATGTGTGTATATATATATCCTCTTTCTTTCTCTCTCACACATGCACATATATTCATAAGACCAGAAGGACATACACTAAAATATGAAGGAAGGGTTAGCTCAGATTAATAGGATTATATACAGATTTTTGTTTTTCCTTCCCTCTGCGTTTTTTTTGTTTATTTGTTTTTCCTTCTCCAATTTTTATAAAGTAAGCTTAAATTTTTTCCATGAGTAAATAAAAAATTATCTGGCCCAGTCATGGTTGCAGATGCTGGACGCTGGTCTTTGCCAGGCCAGGCCCACATAGGAAGCCCAGATCGAATGCCCAGGCCACTGTAAAATGCCTGGTGTGGTACACACCTGTAGTCCTATGTGCTCGGGAAGCTAAGGCAGGAGGACCCCACACCCACAACCAGCATGGCAACTTAGTGAGAGCCCATCTCAAAGAGACATCCCAGCTCCACAGGATGCTGAGGAAAAAAAAAAACACAGCAAAACCCTAGCTTTTGACAGGAAGTGGATGAATATGGAAGATTTACTGCTGAGTGAAGCAAGCCAGGCTATGAAGGAGAGGCATTGTATGTCCCTACTTAATATATACCAAATGTCCGCACTCTATGACTGAAATGGATAAAAGGATATAGAAACACAGTATATAGATGTAAATGCCAGATACAGTGTGTGTGAAAAAGGAGGGTCTGAGGAAGGACATTTAGAAGAAAAATAGGGAGGCAAAGCATTAATGGGACAAAGAAATGTGATATTATCTGTTGAAGATAATTTATAGTTTTATCAACTGTACTAGGGAGAAATGTTCACCTGTTGAAATACCCATTTTGTAAGTCAAATAATGTGATTGAATGTATAAAAGAAAAGAAAAGAAAATAGAAAAAAAAAACAGGATTTATAACCAAAAAAATTCTTAAAAAAAACAGGAAATAGATGCAGTTGTTCAAACATGAAAAAAGAAACGAAAAATTTTCCACATATAAGCATACAAAAAAAATGTTCAGCATGGTTAATAAAGAAATGCAGACTGAACAATGAGATCTACTTATTTAAAAAAATAATGTACGTTCTTTGATAATGAGTAGCTCAGTCATTCCTATGTAGCAGCTCAAGGCAGTTCATATTTCCCTAACATTCTCTCTTGGGAAGTTGAATGCATGAAATAGAGAATTAAAGGGCCATTAGAAGACACAGAAATAGAAAGCAAAAAATAGAAACAGAAACATGGAGAAGAGCTGGCCATAAATATAATTGAGCTTAACTACCTGTTTAATAGCAAACGTGTGGGTTATATAGTTATACAGTTGAACAAAAAAATGTTCAACGTGGTTAACAAAGAAATGCAGACTGAACAATGAGATAATCCTTTTGTATCTGTCAAATTATCAAAAACATTTTTTAAGATATTTGAGTTCAGGGGTTGGCAGGTGGTGTGGGGGTTAAGGTGCTGGACTCCCACATGGCCGACCACGGTTCAAGTCCTGGACCTAGCGGCTTGCTTTCTCACTTTCTCTCTCTCTCTCACTGTTCTTCTCTGGTCAAATTAAAATTAATAAATAAATGGATAAATAAAGTTAAAATAATTCTTTTTAAAAAAAAGAAGATATTTGAGTTCAGCATGCAGATGTGGGAGGGAGAGTAGAGGATATTAATTGGTTCATAGTAAGAGTATTACTTGATTACACCTTTTAGCAGAGAAATTTGGCAATATGATCTTAAAAAAAAACTTAAAAATATGCCTATTTCTGGGGCCAGCAGGTGGGGTGGTGGTTGAGGGCGCTGGACTCCCACATGGCTGACTGCAGTTCAAGTCCCAGACCTGGTGGCCTGCTTCCTCGCTTTCCCTCCCTCTCTCTCTCTGTCTCTCTATCCCTCTCCGATC